TATATATATATAATTATTTCTGTAACTTCCTTCTATTTCTCTTCCTTTCTTCAGTTTTTAATATTTTTCCCCAACAATGTGCTATTTTAGTTTTTTTGTTTTTAAAATTTTCAAAACACAAGTTAGATGCAGAATTCTAAGTTCAAAGTTTCATTCAGGGATTTAAAGAAAACTTTTTATTTTCTTCTGGTTTGCCTACTATTTTATGATTGTAACTTGGTTAAAATATAGGTTATGTATCTGGCTTTTTGTAAGATATATTCCTATGAATTATTTTCTAAAATTTTATTTATGATGTTCAGTATGATTTTATCTGTTCTATTCGTCTATCATGAGGTTCATTGAGTCTCTTGAAAGTGTGGGCTTATCGCTGGGCCTGGTGGCTGAGGTCTATAATCCCAGTGGCTAAGGAGCCAGAGGCAGAAGGATCTCAAGTTAAAGGCCAGACTTAGCAACTTAGTGAGGCCTTAAGCAACTTAGTGAGACCCTGTCTCAAATTAAAATAAATAAATAGACAAATAAAAAGGGCTGGGGATGTGGCTCAGTAGTTAATCACTCCTATGTTCAATCCCCAGGACTCAAAACAACAACAACAAAAGTGTAGACTTATAAATTCTATCTAATTAGAAAAATGTTTGTCTATTATTTTAATGTCTTTCAGTTTACAATCCCAGCCATTTATGATCTCATATTAGCCCCTTCCAACTTTTTATTCCACTATTCATCTCATGTGAAATGTTTTTTTCATTTCTAGCATTCCATTTGATTTTTTTTGCCTTCTATTTAGTCCCCCTTTCTTATTTAAATAATATGACATAGTATCTCATTATGCATTTTAACATCTTTACTATTAGTTTCATTTTTCTTTCATTTCTTTGTCTGCTTCTGTTGACTATTGTTTCTCCACATTGTGGTTTATTCATTTCTGCTTTTCTAAATTTTTAGCAATTTTGACATCTATACAAATCTCTCAGGAAAATAAAAAGTCAATACAATAAAAAACAGAACCCCTCTCTCCATTCTGTCTCTTTGGCCATCAGCCCATAGGATGTGGTCATAACTTCAAAATTGTGTGTTTCTGTTTCCTCATCCTTAACTTTATCCCCTATAATAATAATAATAAGTGTTATTATTATTTTGCAGTATGGACGATTGAATGAGGTGCCTCATGCATTGTAGGTAAGCACTCTACTTCTGAGCTATATCCCCTGTCCTTCACCTCCAATTATTTACCCCTGTAATGTAAAGTAATCAAGCCTTTGAATCTGGAGCACTTTTTTCTTCTCTTGTTTAAAATTGTTCTAATTTGTGAAATAGCTGTGATTGATAGGATGCCAATGATGTCAACTTTTACAGGTGGAAATCACCTTTTACAGGTGAAGTGAGATCACAGTGCATCTCACAAAGATATCTTGCATCCTTCACTTTATACTCAGTCCAAGCCCCAACACTGGCCCACACCTCATCTTCCAGATCCAAGCCTCTGTCCCACTTCCATAATTTTTTTTCCATTCTGTTCCCTCAACCAGGAATTCTCTAGGGAGAAGTGCTGGGTTAGATGTTCTTCTTCTTGTGCCTTTCTATATTTTACTTGTTACAATGTAATAAGTTTAGCAAGCACTTACAGGGTTGCTATTATGTACATTTGTATAGGTACATTTCCAGCTATGTATTTATTTTGTTTTCTAGTCACTGAGTTTCTATGAGTAGTATATTCTCCTTATTCACCATAAGACTTTTAGTTTTTCTTCTAAGTTTATATTTGGTACACCTCACCTGATTTCTGGACCCAGGGTTTCACAAATATTTATCAATTGAATGTATGTGTAAACACCTTAATAGTTTATAATGAAGGCCTAACATGAGTCAACAGATGGAACACAGTTACAAGTAAATATCAAGCCCTCAAAATACCTATCAAAGTTTCATACTATCCACTTGACATGGAAACCGAGTCTAAACAAACCTTGATAACTTCTCTATTTTGTTTGTTTGGAGTTATGTATGTAACTATGACAATG